ATTTCGGGCATTTGTCGGCGATTTCGCAAAACCTGTCTGCGAGTGAAAAATCGGGCTAAAATCGTGCAGTGTGAACTCGGCATAAGTCAAACACTTCAATGCTACTTGTGAATTAAAAAAAAAATATATAGGAAAACTAAATCAATACAGTCGTTCACAATACTCTGCATGTTAACTTTTTTAACAGTATCAGAACATATTAACATAGTATCAAACCCGAATACCATCATCAGTAGTCCTACTTATATGTACTTGAAAACTAAAACATAATAAAAGCATTACTGATGTGAAATCATAATGAAAACAATGTACTTCACTTTAACACTATATGTAAACAAAAGGTCAATAAAACTTAAAAAATATATAATAAATTGTAACATTATTAAACTCCTGGTCACAATATGCAATGTAGACGTGTGAAGGCAAACATGTGATATGATGCACTCCCACAGACAAGTAGTAAAATTATCAACTTATTGTCACAGGACCGGTCACGTCCAAACCCATAATTCATTCATTTTTTCCATCGATAAGTCAATGATGAACTAAAGACCTGGTCATTTGCTGCAACTTTCGATTAGTTTTTGTATAATTTTATGTGAACCTCTGGCTGGTTCCATCTTGTGAAGGGTGAAGACATGGAAATATTCAGCACACCGGCACCAACTTAACATGATGTATCATTTTAGGTAAATACATGAATGTGAGAATCACCAATAAATCATACACCAGACCATTCTGGCTCATAATTGGATGCATTTTCTGCATTGAGTTTTACTCCGAGTTAATGTTTTAAGTAAACCGTATCTTTACACCACAATTCAAGACATTTTAACTGTAGTTAATCAAGGTCTAGGCCACCATTTACTTTCAGCCCAGCCAGTTGATAAGGTGCAACACCTTTGGCTTTATTTTAACCTTTTACCTGTTGCTTTTTTCCTAAATGAAACGCAGATGCATACAGGTGGACTTTATGTGGTGAAGGTGACGGGAAAAGAGTGTGACGTGAATATTTGCTTACCCCATTCCTCCTCTGCCACGGGGTCCTCCACGACCACCTCTGTCAAACCCACCCGCTCCTCGACCTCCAAAGCCACCTCCGCGCCCACGTCCACCTCTACCATCCTGGCTATATCCACCATCCTGGCCACCATAGCCGCCTCCTCCACCACCACTCATTGGCGGGGCATCCTGGCTGTAGCCTAGAATAGAAATACAACACATTGACATCGAAATACATCACGTCTGCCTTAAACATTCCAGCCTTGTACTGCATTAGAACTTTGAAATAACTTTTTGAGTAGATATGTAGGACTTGTTGACACCATATAGTTTATCAGCTGATGTTAAGAGCTTTTTCTAATTTATCTGTATTGGTCGATTGGAAGTATATTGACCAATGCTGGAGAACAAACTGTGCATGCTCATTTCCTCTACTTTTACATTTAGATTACATTTGTTGTCGTATAAAGGCTGGAATACACCACACGACTTTGGCCAGATTTTTTTGCCCCGAATTATAGTTTGCATATTTGAGTTGACAGATTTAACAGAAAATCACACAGTATATGATGGCCACAGATGTTCTAATGTTACGTGACCTTTCACAAGCATTCCAATATGCGAATATTTTCATAACAACATGAGCCGCTTGAAATGATGACAGTTATCAATGTTACTGATATTCAAAATGATAACCAAGCGCTGCTTTGTTTACGTTTCGTATATCTGCGTTTATTTCGTATATCTTTGTTTCGGTTTCTCCTTTTGAATGACGAATATTTACTATTGATAGCTGCTGATATAGACAGCTAACTCCTCTCACGCAGGTGCAGAACGCATATGTTAGTTTGCAGTCGTCTGTAGTTTGAGCGGTGTGTGCAAGTGCAGCTTTTTGGTCCGACGCCATCGACAACACCGTCAGCTTTCGTCGCCACTAGTTCTTTGAAGTCGGCTTGGTGTGTCCCAGCCTTTAAAGGTATAATTCACCCAAGAATTAAAACTCTGTCATTAATTACTCACCCTCATGTCGTTCCAAACCCGTAAAACATTTCATCTTCGGAACACAAATTTAGATGTTTTGATTAAATCTGAGAGCTTTCTGACCCTGCATAGACAGCAACAGAACTGACAAGTTCAAGGCACAGAAAGGTAGTAAAGACATCGTTAAAACAGTCCATGTGACATCAGTGGTTCTACTTCGTCATGCACTGTGGTGCTCTCGTGAACGTGCGTCGAAGACTGACACAGAAGAGAAGAAATTGTTGAATAAAGTCATTATTTTTGTTTTCTTTGCGTACAAAAAGTATTCTCGTAGCTTCATAAAATTAAGGATGAACCACTGAAGTCACATGGACTATTTTAATGATGTCTTTACTACCTTTCTGGGTCTTGAATGTGGTAGTTATGTTGCTGTTTATGGAGGGTCAGAAAGCTCTTGGATTTCAGCAAAATATTTTAATTTGTGTTCCAAAGATGAATGAAAGTCTTACGGGTTTGGAATGACACAAGAGTGAGTAATTAATGACAGAACTATCCCTTTAAATGGAATATTTAGAAATTGAATGGAATTATAGTAATTAAATGGAATATTTATAAATATTAATTTTTTATCCTGTTTATTATAATGTTATGATGCCTAAATACACTCGTTTTGACTTATTTTAGTCTTTATGTGTTTCATTTTTTATTTTAGACAAAATACTACAGAACTGTAATATTTCTTTGCAAATTCTTTTTTTGTTCGTTTGTTTTTTTCTATTTAATAGTCAATAAGGTTTGTGCTTAGAATTACTTTAATTCTACAACATAAACAAATGAAGCAAGTATTTAAGCCAAGTTGAGTTGCTTGTTAACAAGTTTCTAAAAAAGAAAAATGCCAATTATATTCTTAAGTTTTGAACTACAAACTGAACAGCTCTATTTCCTATTACCATCAAATTCTATATGACGACGATTCTATATGCCGAACGAATCTCTCAAGCTCACCTCCCTGTCCGTACTGATTTTGTTGCCCATAGTTTTGAGCTGGAGGAGAGCTGTAGTTGGGAGATTGGTTGCAAGGCCCTCCTCCATGCTGAGAGGACTGGTGTTGCCCCCCGCTACCCCCGTATCCACTGCTCTGTCCTCCACTGCCCCCGTATCCTCCAGATTGACCCCCACCCTGCTGCTGCTGCTGCTGCTGACCGTAGCCAGATGACTGCGAGCTGCTGCCATAGCTGCTGAAACACAAAATGGGTTTAACATATTCTACTCAATATCATCACATTCTGTTCACTAAAAAAAACATTGAGCACAAGTATTATCTTTAACAAAACTAGCTTTAGACCCATTGACATCCAGCTGAAATCTCACCTAGAGGCAGATGGAGGAGCAGACTGCTGTTGATTATAGTTCGAATAAGAGGATTGCTGGTTGTAGCCTCCACTTTGAGCTGGAGGAGGCTGGCTGCTGTTACTGTAGCCTCCAGAGCTGTATGACTGACTGGACTGATTATAGCCCTGAGAGGGCGGCTGAGACCCATATCCTCCTATAAAACGACAAGGATTTAAATATGATAGCAAAAGATGGCCTATTCACAATATTTTCAGTTTAATTAGAGGCATTAATGAATAATACCTGATTGGGACTGTCCATAGCTGGAACTATATCCACCCTGATTATTAGCAGAGCTGCTCTCTGAGTTTTGGTTGTATCCTCCATAACTCTGCTGGCTGTAATTTTGGCTGGAGGGTTGACTGTAACTCTGGTTGGACTGTCCTCCATAACCACCATAACTGGGCACAACACAATGAAATTATTGTTTTAATCATAAACGTTAGCAATCGTTAAATATTATGATAACACTTTGGGAAGGAGGCTTTAAACTTACCCATGGCTTGAGGTTTGGGCATAATCTAAAGGGAAAAGACAACGTTCATTATAGATGGTGGCTGTTTTTGGTAATTTACAAGTATTTGCAAGATCAAAAATCAGTCTACGTTGGCCTTAGGAAGATTATAGTTCACAACAAAATGAACTGTCATTATTTATTCCCCCATGTCATTCTAAACCTATATGGCCGTCTTCTGTGAAACACAAATAAGATGTTTTTTTGTTTGTTTTGTGGTCCATACAACAGAGGTCAATGGTAACAGAATTTTTTGGATGAACTAACGTTATCCCCTTAATACAAGTAAACAAGCTCCCGTTTCTTAAAAGAATAACCGTCTCACTCACATAATTCATTAATGGTAATGGAAGCGTTCCAGTTTTGTCGCGTCAAGTGTATATGGGGTGTGGAGAACGCCAGATAGACCTAATTAATCATATTTAACATTATTAATTTATTGAAACTGAATTTAAATCGATGTACAGTGGGTTCGGTGCAAATATAGGTCAGCAGAACAAGCCAGTTAAAACTGAAAGCGCTGCAAACAAAATGGCGGATGCCGACATGTTCTTCGTTTTTCTTTTTCACAAATTAAACCATAAATGTATCAAATACGTCTAACGCTTGTGTAACATTTACATAACATCACTAAATGTCCTCACCACGCGCGAGTGACCCAAATAGAAGATTTGCGGAATATTGCGAGGTGCGTTTTGCATCAGATGCTGTTTAGGCAATGCCGATAGCGACTATTATAAAACGCGAAATCATATTGCACTGAACAAATCTTACCATTTGACGCCATAATCGCGCTTGAAATCGTTTTAGAAGCTTATGCAGAGGACCAGTTTGAGCAATGTTGCACAGTCACCTTCGGTTACCAACATTAACTGCGCGGAGGCTGACGCTGTTGTGTCGGTTTGAGCCTGTAGCCTGTAGTGATGTCACACTACCGTCCATTCAGCTTTTGGATGTTTACAGAACATTTAGACTACCATTATCAGTGTTGGGGAAAGTTACTTTTAAAAGTAGTGCATTACAATACTGCGTTACTCCCTAAAAAATATACAGTAAACGTGTGCAATTACACATTTAAAACCACTTGAAATCCAGACTTAAAGATGAAATATGTATAAGAAATTAACCCTATATGGTATGCATTATGTTCTATACATGAATTTTTTTTTTTTTTTTTTCAAAATAAATTTTTATTACATGAAATAGTTTCAATTATACAAATCAAAACAGTTTTTTGGGGGTGTTTAGGATAACGTTGCCATGTGGCAACAGTGTAGGCCTACCACAATGGAAAATGGCCAAAAAAGTAGTTTTTCTATTAAATTATGATTTTTCTTTTTATTTGAAATGCACATTTCTTTTAGAAATTGATGCGTCCGATCTTAATTTCCATCCAAATCTGCCACACACACATACAGACAGATACACATGCACACAAACACTCATCGTTACAGTCCATGAAGGCTAACTCATCCTCATTGTCATCACATGGAAGAGCCAACTCTGCACTCTTCCTATTGCCCTTTCCGTGAAATATTGCTGTATTCGTTTTCTGAAAAGAATAAATAATTTTCTTATTCATACATAAATACAACTATACTTCAATAAACACTTCAAATAAATAAATAACTGCAATCATTACAGTAAAACTATGTTAAACAATGTTGATTTGTGAATAAAAATTACTAACCAAGATGATGCAAAAAAAATATTAAAAATCCCCCTTGAGAAGAGATGTTCAGAAATGAGTTTAACAGAGCAATTTCTGGAGCACTTCAACAGGTGTCCTCCATGTGAGAGTGACAGTGGGAAAAAGTGTTTTGGAGGAACATTCAAATGTCATTTGACTTAAAAACAGCACATCATTGACTACCTTATGGCCAGCCCTTTTAATTACCATATTGCAATATATATATATATATATATATATATATATATATTTTTTTTTTTTTTTTTTTTAAAAAAA